GGTGATGTAGCCGTCTTTATTAATGTCGTAGAGGTTGAAAGCCCACTTCAGCTTCTGGTGCACTGTCCCCCGCAGCAAGACAGAGAGGCCGATGACAAAATCCTGCCAGAGGGACCGCGGCCTTGAGTGGGGACGCCCTGCGGGCGCTGCCAGCACCCCCAGGGGACGGACCCCTTGTCCCCCCAGCACAGCCCTTTGCCCCCCTCCACTGGCGCCGTGGCGCTGCCATCGATCGCGGGACGCCCCCGGGGGAGTTTGTTCCTATTGATCCCGTTTCTATTCTGGCTCACAGCTATTTTTAATCACCGGGGTAAAGCCGGCGCCGGCCCCCGCTGCCGCAGTGCCCCGAGCGATCCCGGCACAGGCTCCTGCCGGTGAAGGGGCCCCGAGATTTTGGCCGTCGCCGCTGGGCTGAGCTTTTATCCCCAACCACGCGCGGGCGAGGAGGATGTGATGAATCACGGCGCCGGGCAGGCGTACAGCCGGAGCGAGCGCGGTGCCGGCGGGGCTTTGCCAGGAGGGAGAAGCCGAGCGGGGGAGCGGCGCCGGGAGCCTCACCTGAAAGCAGAGAGCTCCGTCGCGGTCGGCGTCGAAGGCGTCGAACAAGAAGTGCGCGTAGGTGCTGGCGTCTGCGAGGGGAGGAAGGCGGGAGCCGGTGAAGCCCATGCGCCGGGATCAGCTTTTTGGCGTTTTTGCTGCAGACGGTGGCACCCCCTGCCCCTGGCCTTGGGGGTCCCCAACTCACCGCCTTGGGGGAAGAACCGCGAGTAGATGAGCTTGAAGGTCTCCTCGTCCACCAGGCCGCTGGGACACTCCTGGGGAAGGGAGCGGGCGCCCGGTGAACCCCGGATCCGCTGAAATCCCCCTCCCGGCTCCGCCAAAATTCCACCCCTCAGCACCGGTGACGGGGCAGGGATGACACTCACGCTCTTGAAGCCGCGGTAGAGGGACTGCAGCTCCTTCTTGGTGAACCTGGTCCTGGCCAGCAGCCGCTCCAGCCCCTCCGGTTGGTGCCGGGTGGCCGAGAGCTCCAGCTCGGCATCACCGCCGTCTGCCGGGAGACGCCGGCAAAGCCCCCCCCGTGGGTCCCGCAGCCTTTTCCCGCATCACCTTCCCAACCCGCACCCCCACCCTGCTTAAAACCAGCCACCCCCCCCTCCCTGGCCCCCTGGGAGATCCCAAACCTCCTCATGCCGGGAGGAAAAGATCGTCCCGAGGGAGAAGCCGTCCCGTCCCGGGGGGGTTTCCCTCTGCCCGCCCCCCCCCGGCAGCGTGTTCCCGGGGTGCGGAGCCTCTCACCCTGGCCCCGCGTAATGCTGCCTCCACCCGCGCCCGCCCAGGCGGAAGGTAATTAATAAATGATGGCTCATTAATAATTCCAGCTTGGGAAGCCCCTGCGGAGCCGCTCGGCACTGAGACAGGGATAGCGGGAAGGTGGGGCTGGGGAGAGGCCCGTCGGTGGGGATCCCCCAAAAACCCCAGGGTCCCCCCGCTGAACCCTGAACTGGGGGGGTCGGAACTGGGGGGGCCTCAGTGTCCCATCTTGGGGATCAGTGGGGGATTGGGGGCCCCAGTGTCCCACCTCTGGGGGGTGTTGA